ACACACACACACACACACACAAACACACACAAAAACATAAATTTATTCATTCTTATAACATTATTCATTTCTCGTCGTCAACGTCATCAACAATTACCAAAGTTGCATAAGTTGTTGTCGTCAGTTGTCGTCGTCCTTCATAGCACATCCGTTTTTTTCCGGGCTGTCATAACGATAATATATAATATCGTTTGACGACCACCAAAATAAATGAAACCTTTTTACTGTTGCAAATGTTTGATTCACAAAGCTGTGATTTTTTGATTTTTATCACCAACTGTATTATTAGCCCATCCTCCACCCCTCCTCTGGAAAAAAAAAAAAGCGATAAATGAAACAATTTTACTTGTTAACTTCGGTATGTCAATTTAAAGTTTAGAAAAAAGATTAATCCTTTCTCCTGTCTCTCTGCTTTCTTTCACCTCCCCTAAGAGAGAGGAGAGAGAGAAAAAAAAAAGAACCACAGAAATCTTTTACTAACTGTTAAAATAACATACTGTTGACATTTGGAACCGCTAAATAAACAGGCCAAAATTTACCTCACTAAAAACGAGTTGTTTGGCAATGAAACGCTTTTCTATCAATACTTCTAGACTTTAACATTCTCTTTTTTTTTTTTTTTTTGGTTCAAGTTGATACTTATAAACAGTTCTAGTTTTGCAGTATTAGCAGAATCTAGATGCTGCAATAAGTCCAAACAAAAATGCATTTAATTTTTTTTTTTTTCGTTTTTTAAGTCTAAACACTTGGCTTATTTTGGTGACAGTTATATAAAGGTTTTTACTGAAAATCTATAGAATGCAGTTTGCAATAATGTTTTGCGCTCAGATGTAACTAATCAGTGTTTTGTTTATTGACCATTAAATCACCAAAAAATTGATTATCTTTTGAATGTCGTTTCATTCGTACTTCTAAAAAATACAGCCAAAAAAAAGAAATAACATTTAGTCAATATTCTGAGAAAAAAATAAAAAATACACGGCATTAAGAAATCAAAAAGAGATAAATTTTTTCAAACAAAATGTATTGAAAATTCAAAAAGATAGTTGGGCATCAAATAATTTGCATCTTAATTTTTTAACAGTATAAAAATTTATAAAGTCAGAGCAGTTGTTTGTCGACTTTTTAAAATAAGATCAATTAACTTCAGATACAGTTAAAGAAGTTCAGTTTTGCTTAAAACGTTTAAAAATTTCTGATTAAAAAATAACTGTTTTACAGCCAAAAAAATTTACCAACTTTTTTTTTTATAGCAAACTGAAAACTTGAACCAAAAAAAAGTGCTCTTGCTGATATTTAGGAATTGCACAGTTAATTAGCCTTGAAGTGTACAGAAATTGTGAAACAAAAAGCATACACTGATTTTTTCAAGTCTTTTCAAATATCTTTAAAAATCTTTCTCTTTTTTTCTTGTTCATGAAAGAAAAACAGTTTTTGTGTAAAGTTTTAACCTCTACAAAGCTTTGCAGATGAGATTTTCAGACAACCCCAAAGACGTCTAGACATCACCACTCAGATGACAAAGTAAGTTTATAGAGCTAAAATAAAGATAGAAAGCCTAAAAATATTTTTTGCTTAAACAGTCAAATTATTCTTTAAGTAAAAAT